TTACGAGCGTCGCGTCGGCCGTCGGCCGTCGGCGTGGGCTCGGCGCCGGCGCAGTGGCCGGCTCGCGTGCTGGGCGCGAGCTGACACTCCCCCTTCCCCTCCCCTCCCCGGTCACACCCTCGCGCGCGCGGCCACCGCGGGCGTGCGACACGGGACCACCCAGCGGGCGACGGGCGACAAGAAGCCGGCACCTCCGCACTCCCCGCCGCGCCCCGCCCCGTCCGGCCCCGCTCTACATGGAAGCGGCGGAAAGGGCGAGGGCGCGGGGACACGCCGCACAGGGTTTATGGGCCTCGGTACACGCCTCCGTGTTCGCGCCCTCTTTTACCCGCAGGAAAAAGCCCTGCCCCGCTGCCTGTTTTCCAATGGGCGGATTGAACGGTTCCACGAATACAAATGGCTTAATTATGAGCTGGGGCGCGACACAAAAGATGTTGCCCTGTATATTTGAAATGTTTTTTTTAAAGTCTTCTTTTTCAATTGTACTGATAATGAGAGACAGTAAGAAGTAGTTTATAACACATTCTACCTTCGTTGGAAAAACGTGCGTCTAAAAGTATGTGCGCAATGCAAGTAAGAAGTAATAATCATATTGGGTCTTTGATTCAAAGATCGTACGTTTTCTTAAATAATTTCTTCTAAATTTAAATTAGCGACTCGAAATTAGGGATAAAACTTGGAAAAAAGATTCGGAAAAATGACTCGGGAAAAAAATCGAGAATCGAGGTTTCAAAAGAATGTTACAGAGAATACAAAAAGTTTCATTTTCTGCGGAGTGCCGAACATATTATCTAGGTTATTTTTGAAATTGTTCGAATCGACACAAATCCAACAACATAAGGAATACGAATGAGAAGGTAAAGTTGTTTCGTTTTAGAGATGTATTTTGTAACTATACCTATAGCGCCTCTTTTGTAACAGTGTAACCGAAATAACGATGTAACTACTACTGCTGTGTAAGCTTACTCGTTTGTAGTGCTGTAGACTAGTTGACAAAGAGAATGACACTGGTGATTTTTGAAATGAAAAAGTGAATGACTTTCTTAACGTCGTTTTTCGGCATCAAAATGTTCGTTTTATGTTTTTGTGGTATTCATTTCCTCTTCACAGATCTTTGTCACTGATCGTTGTGTTCTGTTCACACAGATTTTCTGATAGAGTCCATCTCCTCTCATCGGTCGCGTAATAGATCACCTATTACGTGAGTGATGAGAGGTGGGAGCAACGCATAAAGCTGGCAAGTCGTTCGAGGGGGGTTTAAAGCGCCGCTAACGTTCGTTGTGTTCATGCCCTTCCAGAAGAGGGAGCTCCTTGGGGCTTCTAACGGGCGAATTCCACGGTACACGGAGTACAGATAGCTAAACTTTAAGTCGACTAGGGAGAGACAACATGTGTGGGTTTCATTTTAGAATTGTTCTATTTGGCCCTTTAGTTTTGAACAGACGTCATTAACTATTGTGGTATTTACATAATCAGATAATACATATTCATTTAGTATTTGGATTTACCTAATCCCTAAAACCTAATACTAATTGCATATTTATTGTGTTATTATGTAAATACCACAATAATAAAACGGTCTGTTCAAAACTAAAGGGTCAAATAGAACAATCAGGAATGAACGAGACCTGACACGTGAATATTAACAACTCAAAAGTTTTGACACGCTTGTGCAGCTTATTCAATATTTACTATAACGTCAAATAAAGGTAAAATGCTGCTAATTCATTTGAAGGCACACGAAATGCGAATGGAATGCGTCAGTGAAATAATTGTAACAGGATGTTTCGGATTAGTGTTTGCGACCTACTATGACTCATGCTTCATTCACGAAATATTATTTCCCTCTTTTGTGTAATGTGTCACTGGCACTATAAACACGAATACTGAATATATTAATCCAGTGATGTCTTTAAATTTCATGAAGTTTTAATGATCAGGGGAACATCTATTGTATATGTTCATATTTAGCAATAATTGTATATTAAAAATTAGTACAGTTGTTACATGAAATCACGACAAAGTGCAGACTTAGAACTTCGTTCATAGCTAGCAATTAGTATATTTCATTTAGAACAAAATGCTACAGATACAGCATTATTTTTGTTTGTTTGAAATTGAATTCTTAGGTTTATTACATTTTAGTTATTATTAAATTTCTTGTATTTACGCCATGACATGTACTAGAGTGCGCAACAAAATTTAATTTAACAAAGGCCGTGTCTTCTAATTTATAATTAAAATTTATCTCAAAACACATCTTATATTTTTTAATTTATAATTAAAATTATAATTAAAACTTATCTCAAAAGTTACAACGCCTTTCCATGTACGATACGAGAAAAGACGAAGGAAATACTAGGGCAATAGGATGCTCCCGGGGGAGTGACAGTACTCTGCCCGATGAAGAAAGTGCAAGCCGCGTTCTTTGGGTTCGATTAGATAACAGGCAACGATGTTTATCAGTTATTTCGTATTTTAACTTGTAGACAGTTGCGGCTATTAGAATTTTTCATCCACCAACAAAACATC